ATTACCCTACTACCCAGTAGTTCTATTTCTAGCTACGTACTCTAAGATCAGAGGTCAGTGAACTTTTTCTTAAAAGGCCAGATTATAAACATTTTAGGTTTGTGGGTCATAAGGTCACTCAACTAGTCAATCTACCACTGTAGTCTGAAAGCAGTCACAGACAGTACACACACCAATGGGCATAGCTGTTTCATTGAAGCTTTACTTACAAAAATTTGCAACTGGCTTGTGGGTCAGTTTGCCAACCCCTGCTTTAAAGAAACCCTCATCATGTGCACCAGGAGGCATGCATAAAAATATCCATAGCAGCTTTATTTGGAAATTTTAAAAATTCCAACAATCAAACTAATTCATCAATAAGAGATAAAGATATTAGTGATATAGTAATACAATAGAATTGAAAATGAATGAACTAGAGCTACAAATAAATATCAATATGAATTGATCTTACAAATGTAATGCTGACTAAAGAGAAGTTCAGAAATATAAAGGACATTGCCAATTATATAAAGTTTGAATATACACAAAGTAATACTATACATACGTAAGTATACAAAAGTATAAGGAATATATGGGCAAAGATAAACTATATTGTTAAAGAGGTTAAAAAAACAAAAGCAAGGATGTGACTACTGTTAATATCACAGTAATGGGCATACCTATGGGGGAGGGGAGAGATGAAGAATTGTGGAGAACGACATCTTCAGGGGTACAATCTCTTTCTTGAGCTGGGTAATAGCTCAACACACTGGTTATTCATCTTTGGGATTTCAGCTTAAATATTACCCATGAAAACCTTCCTTAGCCTCCATACTTGGTTGGGGTCTCCATTATACATTATCAAAGCACTGTTTTATTTTTCTTTTAAGGCAGTTGGGTTCATTTTATATTCCCAGATTAGCACACAGTAGTACTCAATACATTTGTTGAAATACAAAATGAATAGGGTACTCAAGATGACGCCAAAATTAACTATAGAATTCCATGGTTAAGAGCACAGGATCAGCCCTCTGAAACATTAGAAATTCTATTAACTTTCTGATGTGAGAAGGACAGGACTTAGGAAGGCATTCATGAGTTCTGAAGTTTACTACTTTCTGTTTTTTTCTTTCTTTTTATTAAATGTATTGGGGTGACATTGGTTAACAAAATTATTCTGGTTTCAGGTGTACAATTCTATAATACATCATCTATTGTATGTTCACTACCCAAAGTCAGTCTCCTTCCATCATCATTTATCCCCTTTACCCTCTGCTACCCTCCTAACCCCCTCCCTTTCCCTCTGGTAATCACCATACTGTTGTGTCTATGAGTTTTTGTTGTTTTTAGATTAATCCCTTTATCTTTTTCACTCAGCCCTACGACCCCCTCCCCCCTCATAGCTATCAGTCTATTTTCTATATCTCTGAGTCTGTTTCTATTTGTTTTTGTTTATTTTGTTCATTAGATTCCACATACAAGTGAAATCATGCTATTTTTTTCTTTCTCTGACTGGCTTATTTCACTTAGCACAATACTCTCCAGGTCCATCTGTGCTGTTGCAAAAGGAAAGGTTTCCTTCTATTTTATGACAAAGTAGTACTCCATTATATAAATGTAACTCAGCTTTTTATCTACTCATCTACTGATGGGCACTTGGGCAGTTTCCAAATCTTGGCTATTGCAAATAATGCTGCAATGAACACAGGGCTGCATAGATTCTTTCAAATCAGTGTTTCAAGTTTCTTTGGATACATTACCAGAAGTGGAATCGCTGTGTCATAAGGCAGTTCCATTTTTAACATGGAAACTCTGTACTATTTCCCACAGTGGCTGCACCAATCTGCATTCCCTATAACAGTGCATGAGGGTATCCATTTCTCCACATTCTCGCTGACATTTGTTTGATGATTTATTGGTGATAGCCATTATGACAGGTGTGAGTAGATATCTCATGGTGGTTTTAATTTGCATTTCACCAATGATTAGTGACACTGAGTATCTTTTCATGTATGTTCTCTTTGGAGACATGTCTATTCAGGTCCTTTGCCCATTTTTTAATTGGAGTGTTTGGGTTTTTTTTGTTGTGTTTTGCATTCATCCTGAGAGAGAGTGGGAGGGAGAGAGGGAAGAAGAGAGAGAGAGTGGGAGGGAGAGAGGGAAGAAGAGAGAGAGAGAGAAACATCAACGTGAGAGAGACACATCAAGTAGTTGCCACCCACATGACCCCAACCAGAGCCGGGGACAAACTGCAACTGAAGTACGTGCCCCCAGCAGAACCAAACCCAGGACTCTCCGGTCCGCAGGCCGACCCTCTAAGCACTGAGCCAAACTGGCCGGGGCTGGAGTGTTTTTTTTTTTACTGTTGAGTTGTATACGTTCTTTATAAATTTTGGATATTAACCCCTTATCAGATGTATCATTGGCAAATATCTCCCATTCAGTGTTTGACTTTTCATTTTTTTGGTTTCCTTTGCAGTGCAAAACCTTTTTAGTTTGATGTAGTTTTATCTATTTTTTATTTTGTTTCCCTTGCCCTACTTTCTGTTTCTTTGCAAATAAATATTGGATAGATCTGGAACTTATGTATACCTTTTTGACCAGGTAGAGAAATGTGGTTAGTAAGTAAACTCTCATTATTTTATAATAGTCGCTTGTTTTAAGAGCACTTTAGAGATACCAAGGACTTTTACAAAACCCTCACAAAGAGTTTCCTATGTATTAGTCTCTGTTCTAAGCACTATGGGAATAAAAAGTCTAAAAACACAGTTCCTGCTCTGAGGAACTTACAATTAAGTTAAGGTACAAGTTAACACAAACAAAAGAATAAGGACAAAACCAGTATGTGAAAAAAAGTTAAATAAATGGTACTACCCTGTAACAGATGCTAACAGGGTTCAGAGAAGGAAAGACTTAGGTTGATGTGATCAAAGAAGAAATCAAGAAGATGCAATTTGATGACTAGGAATTATAAAGATCAAAAAGATTTCCAGCCCTGGCCGGTTTGGCTCAGCGGTTAGAGCGTCGACCTGCGGTCCTGAGAGACCTGGGTTCGGTTCCCGCTAAGGGCGCGTGCCTCGGATGCAGTTTGTCCCCGGCCCTGGTCGGTCGTGCGGGTGGCAGCCGCTCGATGTGTTCCTTTCACGTCGATGTTTCTCTCTCTCTCTCTCTGTTCCTCTCTCTCTCCCTCCCACTCTACCTGAACAAAAAAATGGGAAAATGTCCCCGGGTGAGGATAAAAAAAAAAAAAAAAGTGAAAATGCTAAGACAAAGAGTGGTTAAAGTGTCATCCCCATATGCCAAGGTTGTGGGTTCAAACCCCAAGCAGGACACATACAAGATAACCAATAACTGAATAAATGGGTAGAACAACAAATCGATATTTCTCCACCCCCCCCATCAATAATAAACAAAAATAAAATCTATGAATTATTTCTGAAATTTTCCATTTAATATTTTCAGACCACAGCTAACCACAGGTAACTAAAATCATAAAGCAAAACCACAGATAAGGGCGGGTGCATGGGGGTGACTGTAATAGGAAAGATAATCTACCCACCTCATACTTAAAGTTTTCTAATTCTATTATTTGGAATCCATAAATTCTCTAAGATGGTAAATTTAGCTTACTCAATGTTAATCATAATTTTGGGAAAATAGTTTCTAATATATGCTTTACCTAACAATTGTTAATCTGTGGCTTTGTACTTTTTTCTGCCAATCTATAATTAAATCGTATGATAACACTGATTTTATTTCACTATAATAAAGGTGTATTCTGATAAGACCTTCCCCCCAAAGTTCTTAAATATGATAATAAAACTTTACATACTAGGCATTTGCATTTGGGAAGGTCACGCCTATTTTCTTAGGTGAACTGTATAAATGAAATAGGTTAGATAATTTTAGTTTAAAAAAGGAATTAAAGTTTTATTTTTACCATACTGGAATAGACAGTACAGTTCCTACTCTCTTCTTCCAGTCTAACCTTAAGAAATAAATATAGCATTATGGCAGGATCTTGAGGAAGAGGTAGGATTTCAATATACAGGGATCTGGGGAGGATATGAAGGAAGAGAAAGATGGATACCCCAGAAAGAGCCTGATTTGAGAATGGGAAAGAGGCAGCAAAGTATGGAGGACTGAATCATTCAGTAAAGAGTGCTACGGCATACAGGTTGGGAAAAATAGAGTAGGGCCAGATCTCTGAAGGGTTTAAATTCTGAACAGGCTATGCTTAATTTTACAGGCAATGGGAAGCCACTAAAGATCTTTGAAAAAGAAAAGGCTGTGATGAGATCTCTATTTTAGGAAGATCAGTCCAACAGTAATGTGTAAAGAACCAAAGGAAAGAGAGCTAAGCGGCAAAGACGACAGATTATTATAATAGTGTAGGTGGACTAAGACATACATAATGGTTTTGTGGTGTTTTTTTTTTATCCTCACCCGAGGACATTTTTCCATATTTTGTTCAGGTAGAGCGGGAGGGAGAGAGAGGAAGTGAGACAGAGAGAGAAACATTGATGTGAAAGGGACACATCGAGTGGCTGCCATCCACACGACACCAGGGCTGGGGACAAACTGCAACCAAGGTACGCGCCCTTAGCGGAAACCGAACCCGGGTCCTGGAAACCGAACCTGGGTCTCTCAGGACCGCAGGCTGATGCTCTAACCACTGAGCCAAGCCGGCCAGGGCTACATAATGGTTTTAACCACTAGGGTAGCATGGGGAAGGAAAAAGATGAAGAGCATTATCTAAGTAGAATCAAGATTATTTGGCCTTTTCCAGAGAAACATATACAAGATTTAGATAATACCATTTTAATCAAAACCACTCAAAATCTGAAGATGGTAAAAAAGAAAAAACACACAAACAAGTCACATCTAGAAACAACTGACTGAATTGAATTGGGGATAGGGGGAATGAGGAATTTTCTAATGCCTTCTATGCACTGATCCTAGGAAGTACAGATTTTAGTCCTGTAAGGTAGTCATGTGATTCAAATTGGACTCTACTTACCTTTTTATAAACTGAAGGCATGAAAAAGAGGGCAAATGTAAAAAGATTCAGTCCCACACAGTAAAAAAGGAGTCGTGTGATTCTTGATCCTGCCTGTTGAAATACTCCTTTCTGAAGAATATTAATTATCTAGGGAAGAGATTCATAATTGCTAAATGGATAGCTGCAGTTCTTTACCAGGAGGAAGAACATCTGTTTTTTTCTCCTGATGGGATACAGGTTTCCTAGGCTACCAAATGTATCCTATACCCTGCACTGTCACACACATACATAAATTCCGAAAAACAAATTCAAATGCAGAAATACACAGATCAAAGCTTGTTTTGTCACAAGTTGACTACTAAATATTAGGAGAGCCTCGTCTTGTATCTCAAACATGAGGCTTTTAACGTCTCTTTTCACAAGCAATTTCTTCTTCTCTGATGAGAGTTCAAGTCTAACTGCAATGAAGAGGTATAGAGAAAGCATACTGAAAGGTTCCTCAAGCAATAGAAAGTGAGACAAAGATCTAGTTGGCTACTTGAAATTTATGGTGTTAGCTTGCATCTTTATGAGGAAACATATCCAAACACTGTCATTTGAATCTTAGGTGAAAAATTCATAAAATAAAGACTGATATATGAAATGTCTACTTTTCTACTCTTTGACAGTCTGGAGGTAAGATTTAATGAGAAAAAAAATATTTAAATATGTAAATCCTGTTTTGATCTGCATGCTACATAAAATAGAAAATACAGTGAGTTACATTAAAGTTATACAATTCACTGCCTTCCACACACACAAATAAGTGAAAAATCTTTATTATTGCACAGTTTTGACAGAGAAATGTAATTAAGTAATAAGAAGAAGAAAAATTAAGTCTTCCATTAAGTCTAGTTTAGCATGGGCTATAATAACATTTTCCCTTTGGTAATGTGGATTAAATTGTTTAGTGTGCATTTTTACTTTGTAAGTAACACTATTTACATTTGTGCACCATTTAAAAGCTTATCAAATGCTGCCCTAGCCGGTGTTGTATGTGGTTAGAGCATCAGTCCTTGCACCAGAGGGTTGCAGGTTTGATCCCCAGCCCTGCAGGAGGCAACCAATCTATGTGTCTCTCTCTTTCCCTTTCCCTTTCCCTTCCTCTCTCTCTAAAAATCAATGGAAAAAAATATCCTTGGGTGAAGATTAACCAAAAAGAGAGAGAGAGAGAGAGAGAGAGAGAGAGAGATTATCAAATGTTCTTAAAACTCTTTTTTATCTTCACAAGCATCCATCATGGGAATCAATACTTCCATTTTATAAAGAAGGAAACTAGACAAGTTTGTCATACAAATAGTGACATAGCAGGAGCTCAAAACCAAGTGTTAAAACCTTTAAATAACATCATCAGTGACAGGCAGAGAGGCTTGAGAAGTTTTAAGATTTTATATGAGAAAGTAATACATTGAATTAAAGAACCCTGTTCACTTATTTATCCATGGTCACTAAATTCAGGTCAGGTCTTAGCTATTCATAAATCTTTACTAAGAAAAAACAGACTGGGTAGGGGGTAAAGTGGCACATGATCTGCTCCTGTTGTGAATAATTACCTCCCACAATTTTGATTTTATTTTCAATATTTACTATTTTACTTTTTAAAAATAGTTTTAAAATATTGATTAGGGTCTTAAACTTTTTCAGATCTGAACTCATTGGTTGGGTTTTTTGTTCTTACTTGAAAATGAAAATAAATTGTAGTTAATGATGGAAGGAATCTTCAAGTACCCAAATTAGTCTTTGCACCTATAAACTTCTCCAAATGTATATTTATAATACACATTAAATTGGCGAACTAATAAAATTGTCTGTAAAGTAAAATGACTAATAAATGAAAAGGTTTAGAGATTTCTACCTCTAGTCTTTTTATGTCAACTATAGGATTTTTAGGAAATTATATATTACTATCTTTCCTTAATAAACAATGACATATACTGAATTACTAAAATATATATGAACCTTAGAAATTAAAAAAAAAAGTCTTATACATATCTTCAATAGACATATTAACTAGTAAGTAGCAAGCTACAAATTTAACTGGGAAATATAACCAAAGCCAGAGGGTTTTTTTTTTTTTCCCTTTTCCTTTTTAAAATACAAGAGTACATAGAATGATCTCTTGGTAAATCAAGAAAAAAGGCAGGTATAAACTGCTATGTTTTAACAGAGAAGTAAAATTCTAAAATGTATTCTTTTCAGTATTCTGGCTTTATAGTTCCAGTGAGCACCAAAGTTGATGCTAATCCCACAGGTTCACAAGGCCAAAGTGTAAAATAAGTAAAAATGGGTTTATAAGAAATAAGACACAAAAAATTTAGAAATGAAAACTAGAAACAGAAGCACTGATTTTAATAATAATGATTAACTCACCTTTAATGTAAAATTATTAACTAGAGCAGGGAAATTTTGAGGCCTATTTTAAAGAAAATATATAAGAAATATCTTCCATGAAAAGAACATCTTGGTTAATTCACTTATTTAAATAGTTTTGAAAATCATTTTTCCCCAGGGAGGGATGAACATACACTAAGAAATGTCTTCAAAGTAAATCATAAGAATTTGGTAAACAAAGGAATAGTACAGATTGTACTTATTAAGACTGAAGTAATGGGCAAAAATCTCAGGTGGGAAGAAGGCCTACAAGAACATGTGAGACACAGAAGATGGCTCCATCTTTTCTGTCAACAATGTCTTTTTTAAAAAACTCAAAGTAAGAAGCTACATTGCACAGTCACATAATTGGATAATGTTGGTATCAAAGACACAATTAAAACATCTATTTATTTGGCAGAAAGTGATTTTTCTTAGAACCCACTGGGAGTTCTAGATGGCGCAGATGACCAGGAGAGGGCAGCTCACCACTGCAGCTGTGAGTAAAGATGCGAATTCCTTTCATTTGCCATCAAGGGGAGACTCTATCTTACTTAAACATTCCATAATCAAATATGAAGAAGTAAAGATACTGCCATTAAAAATTCTAAACATATAAAGTATAACAGTCCTTACAACAAGTAGTCAGTGAGAAGGATTTCTGAGATGCAAATTGGAGCTCATAAAATAAGATGAGGCTACCGTTCCTGACCCTCTCAGATGAACAGAATACATAGAGATGGCAATTATACTCATAATGGCTAATAATGTAGATTTACTATATTTTTATACACCAATGCAATTTTTATAAATAACTACGTTCTTACAATTTATCTAAATTTTCAGATATCTAGACTTTTACCAATATAAATTCACAAAAACACAATGAATATAATTAAATGTAGTATCTCATATATGAAAGAATTTGAAAAAAATTACCTCCTTGTACTAATAGTACTTTCTCTTGGATAACACATATCTTTGAAATAGGTTGTTTACAATCTGCAGGTTACTAATGTAAACTTGAAGATCTGTATTGTCAAAAAAAGGATCACAATGATCATTTAGATCTGCCCCAGTTTCAATCAAAAGTAGGATAAACAGCTGAAACTTTTCTAATGTTAGAAGACTGTATAAACTGGTGTAGTTCTACTCAAAGAGTATGGAAATGAAATAATTTAAGCACACAGAGCATGGTAATTTCTTTATCAAGAGTTATAGCCCTCATTTATTTTAAAAAAACCTACAAAAACTCTGGTTTTTATTATCGGAAGAAAAGTATACTATAAGTCTTTTTGTTTTTAATCCTCACCTGAGGACATGCTTATATTGATTTCAGTGATAGTTAAGGAAGAGGGAAAGAGAAAGAAACATCAATGTGAGAGTGAAACAACGACCAGTTACCTCCCATTTGCATCCTGACCAGGAGTCGAACCCACAACCTAGGTATACCTGGCAATACTCACAGGCTTAGAAAGAGAATTAAAGATTGTCAAATTTGATGAAAAAGAACAGTATTTTCATATGAAGCGTTGGATGAACCAATTCTTAATAAGAAATACAATTTTAAAGTTAATTTTCCTTATTATAATTGAAGATGTAGCAATAGAATGCATAACCAGTCATTTTGAATTATATACATCATGAAGCCACTCTGGCTTCCTGTACAGCTTCCACAAATTGTAAGAAATGGCAGAGAAAATATTTAAATGCCATTGTATAAATCTGTACTTAAAATTATATTCACACAAAACTGATTCATATAAAGTTATATATTTTTAGAAAAATTGTTCTATAAAAGTCATGTTTATATTCTGAAATAAATTGTCAGCAATTTATCATGTTGTCAAAGCTTAGCTTATAAAGTTTTTAACAGCTCTAGTTATAATGGCATCATCAGAAAGAATCATAAAATTAAAAATTGTCAAAAAATTATTTACAATCTGACATTTGCCAGGAGTGACCAACATTATTTTCAATTATACCCATTAACAAAGAAGTTGCTAGCCCTGGCCAGTGTGATGCAGTTGGTTGGACATTGTATGCACTGAAAGGTTCCTGGTTCAATTCCCAGTCAGGGCACATGCTGGGGTTGTGGGCTTGATCCCTGGTAGGGGGTGTGTAGGAGGCAGCCAATGGATGTCTCGCTCTCATGTTAATGTTCCTCTCTCTTTCCCTTCCTCTCTCTCTTAAAAAATCAATTAAAAAATCTTAAAAAAAAAAGTTCTGAAAGTATAAGTTTTGATCTAAGAAATGACAGAAAAGCAAACCAGAAAAATCAAATGATGAATCAAGATGTCACATTGATCAAGTATTACAATTTTTAGTTTCGACAAAAAATCATAACCCCCCAAACATTATTTTTTTTGTAGTTTTTAGCTTTATGTTGTTACTCATACAATGCTATTACCTCTATTATGGTTTATAAGAACGTGTTTTTAAAGGAAAAAGTATTAAATGTTAATGCCTTTAAATGCACTTTCTTCCTGCTTTTTAAACAAGGACCCTGCATTTTCATTTTGTACGAAGTCTCACAAAATAGGTAACCAGCTCTGCCCTATGGAGGCTAATCCAATAGTTCTCAACGCTTGGCTGTTGTTTTGCAAAACTCTTCTGTTTCTAGAGGGCAACCTTAAACAGATATCTATGTTCCTCCTTACCTGTTTTGTCTTGACTATATCTCTAGTCACCTTTCTCTATTCTACCTTCTATGCTGTGATTCCCAAACCTGTAATCCTGATCTTATAAACCAGGATTTTACCCTTTTTGTATTTTTTTCCCCAATCCCCCCAATTTGTTACCCTCAGAATATTGAGCAATAATTTCCTTTTATTCCCCAAATTCAATCAATCATTGTCTTATCAGATCTCCTTTGAGTTGACTCTCAATTCTGTAACTTAATCCCATATTCACTGTGATCATCCTAGACAAAGTCCTTCCTCCTAAGCTACTGCGAAGAGAAATCTTACCTCATGGTATCTTTATCATCTGAACCTCATAATCTCCTCAAAGACCAGTAGAGCAGGTTCTGATGTAAAAACCATCCTATTTTGCAACTAAAGAAATTGAGGAACAGAGAAGTAAAGCATACTGGTCAAAGTCATAATGAAAGCAATTTGCTCAAGCTATTGAGAGGGGGTCTGATCAGATAACAACCTTCATTACATCATGATATATGGTCTTCTGAATACTCTAATTTGCAATAAAACTGTCATCAGATTAATTTCTCATCCAAGACCTTTTATACCTAACTACTGCCTAGAAGATAAGTAAAGCTCCTAAGCTTAAAAATTTAGGACCATCAACCAAACCTTCTCGAATTAGATTTTAATCTATACTTGAAACTTCTATCTCCTACTATTCCAATACTACTCTATACTTCAGTCTTTCATCTGCTTGCTAACCTAACAAATTTCTGTCCATGCCTTAATGTCCAACTCAGTCAAATGACACCTCCCTCAGGATCTCTTTCTTGATTTTTCCCATCAAGAAACAGTCTCTTGTTACTTTAACTTTCTACTGCATACTCTACACCCTAACTTTGAAGGGAGGTTTCATAAATACTCATTTCTATAGCACCATGAGATTTAGCAATGAATCAATATCTCTTTTACCCTTTAGGACACAGCTAGTCTCACCATTCATTCAAACATTTATTACCTACCATGTGCTGGTACCATACTAAATGTTGTGGAAACATATATATGAAGCCCAATGGCTCCAGATAAAGATGCAGGACTAACACATGCATACATAGCTGCTCCTTCTCCAAACCCTACTAAAAATGACAGTAAAAGGGTTATGTCCACCAAATTCCCCTTCCTACTCTTTGTAAGTATCTTATCTGCACCTTAGCAAATGACTAAAAGTTTATTTTCTGGAGGTAGTAAGTAAAAATGAAGGTGTCTGATCAGGGCAGGGATAACTGAAACAAAAAGATTAAGTGAACATATACTCAATGGATTCGCAGACCCCACCCCCCACCACCAGCACTCTCCCCCAACTTGGCTTAGAAAGAACACTGTCAACCAGGCATTTACTCTTGAGGAAGATGTTCCAGTATTTTTTCTCTTTTCCAAGAATTCTAACTAGACTAAAAGTAAGTTCTAAATATGTTCACATAAAGGGTTTTCCCAGAAAAAGAAATCAGCTAAATTTCCCTAGGTGACAGTTATACTGACAAACACCCAACACAAGCTCTGGACATTCAATCTGTTAAGTTTCCCACTTTTTTTTTTTAATTCCTCACCCAAGGACATTTTTCTGTTTATCAACAGATAGTAGAGTGAGAGGGAAGGAGAGAACGAGGGAGGGAGAAGGGGAGGGGAGGGGGAGGAACACTGGTGTGAGAGAAACACATAGATTGGTTGCCTCCCACATAACCTCGAACAGGGTACATGACCCGTGAATCAAACCCGTGACTCTTTGGTCTGCGGACCAATGCTCTACCACTGAGCCAAACCAGCCAGATCAAGTTTCCCACTTTTAATCATGAGCAAACAACTAAGAATTATCAAATATTTGATAGACACCTGAAATGAAAGCGAAGGCCAAAAGAAACAAAAAAACAGAAAAGGCAACTTGAAAGAAACATACTATTTAGAAATAAGAAAAACTAAAACAAAATTATAAAGAATATTCTCCAACATAAAATATTGTATCCATAAGTTTCAAGTCTCCCAAGTTGTTTTTTTAACTTAGTTTTCTATATACTTATCACTAAATCAACCCAAACCCTTTTTCATTAAATTTTCTCCCAAAACACAGACACAAACACATACTTTAAAGAACAGATAATGGAGAGACAGACAAGCAGACACATAAACATAACCACTTGTCCTTGGAAAATAAAAAACACAACAACAAAAAGAACAACTTCAATAGATGTATGGGAAAATAAAGTTGAGGAGCTCTTCCCACAAAGCAGAGCAAAAGTAAGAAAATTAGAGCACCAATTCAGGAGGTCCAATATATGAAAAACAGGTATTCTAGAAAGAAAGAATAAAAAAAAGGAGGGGAGGACATCATCCAAAAAATAATTAAGAGTCCTGGCCAGCGTGGCTCAGTTGATTGGGCAATGTCCCGAGCACCAAAAGGTAGCCAGTTCAATTCCCAGTCAGGGCACATGCCTGCGCTGTGGGCTTGAACCCTGGTAGGGGTGTGCAGGAGGCAGCTGATTGATGTTTCACTCTCACATTGGTGTTTGTTTCTCTTCCTCTCCCTTCCTCTCTCTTAAAAAAAAATCAATAACCATTTCCCAGACAGGAAGGGCATGCATTTCTTGGTTGAAAGGGTCTACCAACCACCCTGCATGGTAGATGAAAAGAAATCCAAACCAAGGAACAAAGGGAATCTTACATATTTCCAGAGATAAAAAAAAAAAAGCGCATTCAAAGGATCAGAAATCAGAATAACTTTAGACATCTCAACAACACAGGATTACCGAGCAATGCCATCAATTTCAACATAAGAGTTCTACCTCTATGCATCCTTTGTCAGGACATTATTAGAGATGAAATCTTTCAAAATAGTATGCAAACCAAAGAAGATGAAATGAGATGTAGGAAATAGAAGCTCCACCACAGGGAAAAGCAAAAGGAATTCCTATGATGATAGTGAAGGGACATCCTAGAATGACAGTGGGCACCAGCTGGTATATAGGGCAACCAGAACAGGATGAAGCAGTTGGAATTTCTCCAAAAAGAAGAAAACTGATGGAAGCCTCAAAGTGTCTGAGCACAATGGGAGAAGATTTAGATAATTTAAAAAGCATTTTTAGTTGATTTAGGGATAAGCACATGGAAAACTAAGTAAACAACATCAAATACATAGGCAATAATGAGGAGTGGAAGAAGGTAGAAACAATCAAGGAAAATTCATGATTTTATCTAATGATTCAGCTATTCAATAACATTTATGTAGTCATAATAATGTAAAACACTGACTACTGATCTAACCAAAAGGACAATGTAATTATATAAGGAAGATGGAAAGAGTGCCTGCATGGAGTAAGAACAGACGAAGGTAAAGATAAAACTTACCTTCTATAATGGGAAGTCTATAGAAAATTCTAAAACTCAAAAATCAAGAATTACAAGAATGTAACTATGAGGAACAGAGGTAAAAACCAAAAGAATCAGCTAAAATAATTGATCATATTGACTTTTGGAAAAGGTGAAATGGCAGTGGTGGTGGGTGATGACAGAATGTTCTCTTTCGTAACGAAATTGGGAAACTATTGACTTTTTAAAGCTATAATGCAAGTATAACTTGATAATCATTAAAAAATAATTAAGCCCTGGCCGGTTTGGCTCAGCGGTTAGAGCGCCGGCCTGCGGTCCTCAGAGACCCGGGTTCGGTTCCCGCTAAGGGCGCATGCCTTGGTTGCAGTTTGTCCCCGGCCCTGGTCGGTTGTGCGGGTGGCAGCCACTCGATGTGTTCCTTTCACATCGATGTTTCTCTCTCTCTCTCTGTTCCTCTCTCTCCCTCCCACTCTACCTGAACAAAAGATGGAAAAATGTCCTCGGGTGAGGATAAAAATAATAATAATAATAATAATTAAGCCGCCTAGGCTGGTGTGGCTCAGTTGGTAAGTGTTGTCTCCTGCATGAAAAGGTCACTAGTTCATTCCTGGTCAGGGTACTTGCCCAGGTTGCAGGTTCAATCCCTGGTTGGGATGCATTTGGAAGGGAACTGATAAATGTTTATCTCTCACATTGATGTTTCTCTCTCTCTCTAAAAATTTTAAATATCTTTAAAAAATAACAAAGAAACAAGCAACAAAATGGAAAGGGAACCCACTATATGAGAGAGTATAAATGCCAATAATACATCAGATAGGGGTTAATTTCCAAAATATATAGAGTGCTCATACAACTCAACAAAAGGAAGACAAAGAATCCACTTAAAAATGGACAGAGGACCTAAAGAGACACCGCTCCAAACAGGACATACAAATGGCTAAGAGACATATGAAAAAACGCTCAACGTCACTAATCATCCGAGAGATGCAAATTAAAACAACTATGAGGTATCACCTCACACCTGCCAGAATGGCTGCCATCAACAAATCATCAAACAACAAGTGCTGGCAAGGGTGTGGAGAAAAGGGGACTCTAGTACACTGCTGGTGGGAATGTAGATTGCTGCAGACACTATGAAAAACAATATGGCGTTTCCTCAAAAAACTAAAAATTGTACTGTCATTTGACCCAGTGATCCCACTTGTAGGAATATATCCTAAGAAGCCTGAAACACCAATCAGAAAGAATATATGTACCCCTATGTTCATAGCAGCACTATTCACAATTGCTAAGATTTGGAAATAGCCCAAGTGTCCATCAATAGATGAGTGGATAAAAAGGCTGTGGTACATATACACAGCCTATAAGAAATAAAGCTCTAAGAAAAAAAGATCTCTTATCCTTTGAGACGACATGGAGGGACCTGGAGAGTATTATACTAAGGGAAATAAGTCAATAAGAGAAAGACAAATATCACAATCTCTCACTTATTTGTGGAATATAATGAACAAAATAAACTGATGAACAAAATAGACCCAGAGACATAGAAGTAGGGTACTCAGAAGAGGGGGGCATGGGGAAAGGAAGAGATAAACCAAAGAACTTTTATGTATATATGCATAACCAATAGACATAGACAACAATGCTTGAGGGGGAGGAGAACTGGGAAGAGGGTGTTAATGGGAGAAAAAGAAACATCTGTAACAAAAATAAATTAATAAAAATAATTTTAAACATAATAATCCATTGAAGGTTTAAACAATAGTGAGATACACATAAAAACCTGATAATTATAAGAAAGGACTTAACAGAAAATAGCTGGATTCTCATATCTAGTTCTGTATTCAATCTGTTGTGATATGTTGTTTTGGCTAAAAATGAAGATAATCTGGCCTCACACAAATATGCAGTTGGAAAGGGAACTGAACTTCAACAGTTATTTAAGATATTGTTCTTTAATACTACACTAAAGTTAACAAGTGGTAATTTCTTAAAGTTTAGTTACAATGTAAAATCTGAAATTGGTTTATCTTGT